GAAATGGGGCAGGCTTCCGGGGGTACATTTCACCCCTTCCAAACCCTGGAAGTTGTACATGGTTGAGGTAAGATTGATAATGACACTGTTGTCCTTCATTACACTAGAGCCTCTGCTGTGAGTGATTTGCGGCAAATGTGCAAGGACCCCTTGGATTGGGGCTATGAAAGAAAGGCACCTTTACCGATTGGCCACTCTTTTGGATCTTGGATAAAATGGGAAAATCTCATGTTATCATTCCAGAGGGAGCAAAAAAACTAATCACTTGGAAAAGGTGCTGCAGAAGAACCTTTTGGCCCCATCTTCATCAGACAAGCCTGGCAGCGCCGAAACCATATGATCTCAAATTTCCTTGGGCCCAGGGTGGATGCGGTTACCCCTCAAACTGAGGGCCCCATGGAGTTTTGGGGGTCTGAGCTGGACCAGTAACTGGAATTGCACAGTGATTTAAAAATGATCTTGGACTCTTTCATCCAGGTTTTGGTCTGCCGCTCCTTTCTGTATTTCTTTGGTTTGAGATACTGTTGAGTGTCTATTGAGGGGAGCATTGCTATGTGTGAGCTGCCTCAACACAGCTATTGAGCTTGCTTGAAGTTCTCCTTCATCTCACTACAACACCTCTTTGAGTATGTTGTTCTAGTATTCCGGTGATCAAGCACTTTACCAAACATAACATTTCTATTGTTTGCTGCTCTGTGTCTCCTATTCCACTGCTCTGGCAATCAAAAATATTTGTGGCCATTGTCTTTGAAATAATATCCTCTAATTAAAAAAAAAAAAAAATGCTAGCCCATTCCTATTATTATTATACAGGATTTATATAGCGCCAACAGATTGCTCAATGCTTTACAATATAGCACATATTGATAACACATTATAGATTTAACCCTAATCAAGTTTCTACATACAGTTGTGTTCAAAATAATAGCAGTGTGTTGAAATAAGTGAATAAAACTCAAAATCCTTCTAATAGCTTTTATTTCCATACACACAAATGCATTGGGAACACTACACATTCTATTCCAAATCAAAACATGAAAAATATATCAAATTTGTGCTGCTCTTCTAAAAAAAAATTGAAGAAAAGTGAATATTAGACTATTCAAAAAAATAGCAGTGTTTGTATTCTTTTTTACAAACTCAAACATTCACTATATAAACTGAAAAATGTTTGCAGATTTTGCTTTCCTTTGAACCACTTAATGAATATTTAGTTGTAGTCGCACTGTTTCTGAGAACTGCTGTACATCTGTGTTGCATGGAGTCAACCAACTTCTGGCACCTGTGAACAGGTATTCCAGCCCAGGATGATTGGACTACATTCCACAGTTCTTCTCTATTTCTTGGTTTTGCCTCAGAAACTGCATTTTTGATGTCACCCCACAAGTTTTGGGCTGGCTACTCCATAACGTCAATCTTGTTGGTCTGGAACCAAGATGTTGCACGTTTACTGGTGTGTTTGGGGTCGTTGTCTTGTTGGAACACCCATTTCAAGGGCATTTCCTCTTCAGCATAAGGCAGCATGACCTCTTCAAGTATTCTGATGTATTCAAACTGATCCATGATCCCTGGTATGCGATAAATAGACCCAACACCGTAGTATGAGAAACATCCCCATATCATGATGCTTGCACCACCATGCTTCACTGTCTTCAGTGTACTGTGCCTTGAATTCAGTGTTTGGGGGTCGTCTGACAAACTGTCTCCGGCCACTAGACCCAAAAGAACAAAATTGTGCGGCATTTCTCTTTAGACCAGTCAATGTGCTCTTTGGCAAATTGTAACCTCTTCAGCACGTCTTTTTTTCAACAGTGGGACTTTGCGGGGGCTTCTTGCAGATAGCTCGGCTTCACATAGGCGTCTTCTAATTGTAACAGTACTCACAGGTAACTTTACACCTTCTTTGATCTTCCTGGAGCTGATTGTTGGCCTTACCATTACCATTTTGTCCTTGCCATTTTGGCTATTCTTCTATCCATTCGAATGGTAGTTTTTTGCTTTCTTCCACGCCTTTCAGGTTTTGGTTGCCATTTTAAAGCATTTTCGATCATTTTAGCTGAGCAGCCTATCATTTTCTGCACTTCTATATATGTTTTCCCCTCTCCAATCAACTTTTTAATCAAGGTACTCTGTTCTTCTGAACAATGTCTGGAACGACCCATTTTCCTCAGAATTTCAGAGAGAAATGCACTGTAACCAGCATTTGCTGCCTTCCTTCCTTAAATAAGGGCAATAATTGCCACCTGTTTTTCAAAGAGTGAATGACCTCACTAATAGAACTCCACACTGCTATTATTTTGAACATGCCCCTTTCAATTAGTGATTCAATTACACAGATTTCGCAGCATGCATGTCATGACTGTTGGATTTCTATTACTCTACTACACCTGCTAGTAAATTATTTGCTATGTAGAAATATCATTTCTACCAAAAACAGTGATTGATCAGGTTAGTGATGTCTGACTGCTATTATTTTGAACACAACTGTACATACTCTACAGTGAATGTGTAATATTTGTGGCTATTGTCTCTGATAAAATACACTCTTATTTTTATTTCATGACAAAACCTCTCCCCTTAAAATGGTATTAAATAAAATACCAAAAATGTATTATATTGCAGCTTACTAATCATTAGATGTGGCGGCTGCATCAGTTCTCTCTCTCTTTGGCTTTTTTCCCTGTTGGTGATCTGGCCACTAACACACCTTCTATATAAGTGAGACACAGCTCTGGGTAAATGAGCACAGGAGGCATGAAAGACAGGAACATTGTCAGTCTGGGAGGGATGTGTCAACTGTATTAGCAAATTTAAATACACTAACAAATTGAAGCCAAACTCCAGCTCATGCTTTGTAATCAGTTTTAGCAACATATTTTTCCATTTGGGATAAAGATTTTACATGAATAAAAGCCGACCATTTTAATCAGCCCTGCCAGTGATAAATGGTTTGTCTCATCCATGTAAACTGATACATTGTGCTGGAGAGCTTGTGCCTTTGAGAAACAACATACTTGCTAGTTGGATTACCAGATGAAAATAGATGAAAGAAAGCCTTAAATAGAAACTAATACAGCCATCACATCCAAGAATTGGTAAGCTGCGATATAATAAATGTTTGCTTTTGGGTTTAATACTGCTTTAAATTTTGATTATGTAAAAAAGCTTACATAATGTGCAGCGAGTCTAAACAATATTTATTGCTTTTGTCTCAGAAATAACACTCTAATTTTTGTTTCATTATAAAACCCACCAGTTTCTGTCTCTGAAATTGCAGCCTAGTAAAAAGCCTGACAGAGCGTGCATTGAGATGGTACAGTATTTCTGTGTTTTGCCTGAGAAATATTAACCTTGAGTTTTTATTTCATGATAACACCTGCCTGGTCTCTGCTTTTGAAACTGTATCCTAGTAAAAAGACAGAATGTGCATGGATCCTGTACAGTGTTTCCGACACAGAAATAATACAATCTAACATTTATTTTGTGATAAATCCTGCCTGGATGCTGCTTCTTACACTGTGGCCTGGTGAAAGTGCTTACAGTGTGCTTGGAATCTGTACAATATTTCTGGCTTTTGTCTCAGAAAGAATACAGACTAATATTTATTTTACAATAAAACCTTCTTACAATGTGGCCTGGTAACATGGAAAATGGCCTGTAAATAAAAACGCAAACATTTCGATTTCTCTATTAAAACCTGACTGGTCTCTCCCTATGAACATGTAGGCTAGTAAAAAAAGTTTACATAGTATGCATGGAGTCTGTACAATATTTGTGCCTTTTTTCTTTTAAATAAATGCACTAAAATTTTCATTTCTCAATTAAAACCTGCCTGCTCTCTCCTTATAAAGCTGCAACTTAGTAAAGGTACTAACATAGTATGCACAATGCTTGTGCAATATTTATGGCTTTTACTCAATCAAAAAGGCACTTAGATTTAGATTTTGTTTTAATTAAAACCTGCCGATCTTTAAAACTTAAACTGCAGTCTGTTGAAGCTAATTATATAGTGTGCATCACATCTGTACAATATTTCAGGCTTTTAATACACTCTAAATTTTATTTCCTGCTAAAATCTACAATCTCTGTTTCTGAACTTGCAGCTTAGCAAAAAGTGTTTATGAAGTCTGTAGATATTTTGGTTTGTCTATAAATAACACACTCCAGTTTTCTGTTTTAGATAAAAGCTGGCAGGTCTCTGCCTCTGAAAATGTGGCCTAGTAAAAAGCCTGACAAAGTATGCATTGAGTCTTTATAATATTGTGGGTTTCATCTAGGATATATTATACTCTAAATTGTATTTCATGATAAAACCTTCCTGGCTCTGTATCTGTAATTACAACCTTCTATAAAGACTGACACAGTGTACATGCAGTGTTTATATTATTTCTGACTTTTGCCTCAGAAATACTGTAAAATACTCTAGTTTTTATTTTATGCTAAAACCTTCCAGGTCTCTGCTCCTGAAACTGCAACCTGGTAAAAAGGCCTACATAGTGTGCATGAAGTCTGTAGAATAATATTGACTTTTTCCTCAGAAATAATACAATCCAACTTGTATTTCATGATTTCATCTCTTTTGTATCTCCTACTTAAGTTGCAGCATAGTAAAACAGCTAACATAATGTGTAGCAAGTGTGCACAATATATGTGGATAATGCCTCAGAAATAGAACACTAATCTTTATTTCATGGTTAAAAAATGGTCACGTTTCTCCCTCTCTTACACAGATGCCCAGTCAAGCTGCATACATACAATCCAGCCACTGTACTATATGTGCCATTATTGTCTCTGAAATATGGCACTCTAATTTTTAGTTTAGTTTAAAACGGTTTCGTCCCTGAAAGGTGGACTTGTGGTTTTGAAGCAACTTTTAAGAAATGATAGTGTGGTACTGGAATCACAAGCTATATTATGAAACTGTTTTGCACTGGTCTATTAGTACAAAGTCAAGGGCTTTAGCGTTAAGTGTTTAAAGAGCACATTTTCCTATAGTTTGTAGATTCTGAACCAATGGACTGCAGACATAGTACAGGAGATGACCAGAGACTGCGGACATACTACAGGAGATGACCAGAGACTGCAGACACAGTACAGGAGATGACCAGAGACTGCGGATATACTACAGGAGATGACCAGAGACTGCGGACACAGTACAGGAGATGACCAGAGACTGCGGACACAATACAGGGGATGACCAGAGACTGCGGACATAGTACAGGAGATGACCAGAGACTGCAGACACAGTACAGGAGATGACCAGAGACTGCGGATATACTACAGGAGATGACCAGAGACTGCGGACACAGTACAGGAGATGACCAGAGACTGCGGACATAGTACAGGAGATGGCCAGAGACTGTGGACATAGTACAGGAGATGACCAGAGACTACGGACATAGTACAGGAGATGACCAGAGACTACGGACATAGTACAGGAGATGGCCAGAGACTGCGGACATAGTACAGGAGATGACCAGAGAATGCAGACCTTTGGGGAGTTACCTGCTCCCACTTCTGCTGAGTTGTCCCTCCCTCCCCATAGTCTTGTGAGACAAGTGACAGGTCCCAGAAGACTACGGGGCCATTCACAAAGCACAGCGCTTCACGCCATGCGCAGTGGGCACCCGGCTGTGAAGCCGCAAGCTGTCACAGCTGGGTGCCCACACTGAAGATGCCGGCACGAGGGAGAGAAGACGGCCGGTGAAAGCAGGACACCGCTGGACCGAGGAACAGGTAGGACGGAGGAGCGGGTTCTTCTACACAGTAGAGCTGAGCAGCTGGCCCAGTATTCTAACACGGCAGCGGCAGGAATACCAGGCCGTCCGCTTCTTATTCACTCCATAAGAGACACAGACATTTTTCCCCATTTTTTTGGGGGGAAAAAGTGCATCTTATGGAGCAAAAAATACGGTATATACTCTTATATTCTTAGATACTCTAATGTGTTGTAGCTTTTTCACCTCCATAGTTACTCCCTTAAATATCAATAGATTGAAAGCAGTTTTTGTGTTGCTTCTGTATTCCATAATAGACTGTAATGCTTTCCACCTTCTGTATCCATTTGATACCTCTTTTTTTCCTAAAGGACTGTTGGTTCTTTCACCTTCTGTATACTCCATTAAACCAAACAGATTGCAAGTTCTTCCACTTCTCTATCACTCCCTTATACAGTTATAAAAATTGTAAGCCATTTCAATTTTGGTTTCTGTCCCTTTGGACCTAACAGATTGCAAGCACTTTGATTTTCTGTATCCTCCCTTATATCTTAAGAGAATGCAAGCTCTTCCACCTTCTGTGTCCTCCATTGTTCCCTAATAGATAGTAATCTCTTTCACCTTCTCTATCCTCCCTTATGCACTCCCATCTTTTCTATTTTCCCTTATATTCTAATACACGGGTCTCAAAACTTTCTAACCAAAGGGTCAGTTTCTTGTCCTTCAGACTTTGGGGGGACTGTGCCTAGTGGGATCAAACAATGCTCCATCTTGGGTATTGGGGAAGAAATAATGCCCCATCATTGGTGTTAGTAAGTGGAATTATGCCCCATCGCTGGTGTCAGAGGCAGGGATAATGCCTCAAGGGCCGGATAAAGGCAAGCAAAGGGCCGCAGTGTGGAGACCAGAGTGCTAAGAGATTGTAAGCTTTTCTGCCTTCTGAATACTCCCTTCTACTCTAATAGATGGGTAAGCTCCTTTACCTTTTGCATCCCTACTTTACTCTATAACATTATGTAAGCTCTTATTCCATTGCTTGGCTAACAGGAGGACATAAGATGCTAAGATATTCTATTCTTCATCGTAACTAAGGATACAATAGTCATACGCTGTCACAAATGAATGATAAGCTGCTGCAAGCACCTAAATGTGTTCCCACATCAATAAAATTGCCCAAGAATAGTGCTGCGCATAATAATAAACACCCTCCTGAGCATTAAACCCAATGTGTAAATGACTACATCTGTGAAAAGTCAACAGCTATGTATGGGTTGAATTCCAAACAAATTTTCTTTAGAAAATCGGAAATGTGCGTTTTGTAATCCGATGATGCTGCCGTTGGTTTCGCCATTCAACCAACCAATCCTTCAATTTCACCTAATGTTGTTACAGATAAGAATTTTCGTGGCCAAGAATGTTCGTTTCTTTCCAGGTCACAGCTCATGCTCATTCCTTTTACGTTTATATTTCCCGCACGATTCTGCCATCATTGATTCGAAATTCGTTCGTTATTCAAAAAATTACCAACATGCCTGATCACTCAGATTCAATGGTCCAATGAAAATCTTCCATTTCAGTGACCCACTAATGGTGCGAAATTCGAATGTAAATTCTTAGAAAAGATTTTCGAAAGAAAACTCTTTCGGAATTTGACCCATGTATGGCCGGCTTTAATAAGGAAACTGGCTGAGCCACTAAATCCAAATGATATGCGAAACATATATCAAAAATAAAACACAATCAAGCAGCAAAAAACACCTGGCCAACCTCTAATAAACACCCGGACGACCTGAAGAATATAGTGTAATAAAACAATAAGAACAGTAAGTAATTACTGTTCTTGTTTTTTACACTATGTTCCAAGAAAAAAATGGTGACGGGGAGGGATCTCCAGCAGACTGAGAGCATCAGCTCTGTTCCTGAGTGGAGGGGACGTGTCCCTTCCCTCCAATCAGCTCTCAGAGATCTCCTCATTGAGCTCTGCAGCTCTCCACCCTCTTTTTCTGAACTCTCAGTCAAACTTTATAAGTTATGGATTTTGAATGGATGTAGAGAAGAGAAGACTGCAGATAAACAGGAATAACTTATGTTTGAGGATTTGTTTCATCCCTGTGTATCACTTGAGGCCAGTAATTTCACTGGGTGTACTGTATGTAAGGATTTACAACCACTATAAAGTTTGAAAAATGGGATCCTGGACACCCCTCAGGCCCTAAGCACATACCTAGGTTGCCATGTAGATGATCCAGTAGGCCTTTTTAAAATATGGCACTGCCTCTGAATGTGAGAATCTGGTTTAATATGAATATACTTTTTTTTTAAAGAAGCTAACTCAGGCATGAAAATTACCCTATAAAATGATTTGTTTCAAATAAAGACGCATTGTGTAAAGAAATGCTAAAAAAATGACAACTGTAAAGAAGCTCTTCAATTCATTTTGTCACCTATAAATTTCAATATTTAGACATTTGCCAAGAAAATATTCTTTTGTATGAAGCCATGTTATTTTGTTTAACAACAAATATTTCAGACATATGAAATGAATATAAAATAATTAAAAATGGTATTCAAAACATATAAAACATTTTGCAAATAAAACGGTCAAGTCATATATAGTTCAAACATAAAAATTAACAAACATTTTGTGTTTCTGGAAAATTACAAAACATAAGTTTCTATGCCAGGAAATTAGATCCCGTGATTTCTAAGATGTTGAAAATACCGAGCTTTCATGGGAAGGAAAGCAGAAGAGTCTGGAAAGCTGGACTGTGAAAGAGTTTATCTACCAAGCTGAAAGTTTCAATTGCTTACAACTAAGCTATAAGTTGAACCGGGTGCATGTCCTCCCAATAAAAAGCCATGGTGCAGGTGTGGGAACACTTCATTGATCTGTGATGTGTTTCGCCGTTGAGGTTACCTATTGTAAACCAGCAAGGATGTGAGGAGATCATTGACATGGTGGTCAAGAATGTATCTGTCTGAAGATAATAACTGGAAGTCCTAAAACGTAATTGGTTACAACTTAAAGAGAATAAAAGGGAAGGAAAAGGCTCTTCAACTCAGCATACTAGTGGGCAAGAATATGGACTGCATGGAAAGCCAAAGACTGAAAAATTTTGCTTTATTCTCTCACCAGCTTCTCTGATGCTAACTGGCCAGTAAGGAAGTCCCTGCAACATACATAGATACCAAAGGTCTAGAACAGTGGTCTCCAAACTGTGGCCAGGGGACCTTTACTTGCTTTTTTTCTGGCCCATGGGGCACTATTCCTCCCATTGACACCAACAATTGAGCACTATCTCTCCCACTGACACCAACAATCAGGCAAAATTCCTCCCATTGACACCAATGATGGGGCACTATTCCTCCCAATGACACCAATGATGGGGCACTATTCCTCCCACTGATATCAATATTGGGGGCACTATTCCTCCCACTGACATCAACGATGGGGCACTATTCCTCCCACTGACACCAACAATCAGGCACAATTCCTCCCACTGACACCAATGATGGGACACTATTCCTCCCAATGACACCAATGATGGGGCATTATTCCTCCCACTGATATCAATAATGGGGGCACTATTCCTCCCACTGACATCAATGATGGGGCATTATTCCTCCCACTGACATCAATGATGGGGCACTATTCCTCCCACTGACATCAATGATGGAGCATTTTTCCTTCCATTGATACCAACAATGGGGTACTATTCCTTCCATTGACCGAAATATGGGGCACTATTCCTTCCCTTGATACCAACAATGGGGCACTATTCCTTCCACTGACCGAAATATGGGGCACTATTCCTCCCCTAATACTAAAGATAAGACATTGTCAACCCCTGCTGGCCATAGTCCCGCCCTTCTAAAGTCTGAAGAACAGTAAAGTTTGGAGACCCCTGGTCTAGAGGTATCCACAGAGCTTTGTGGATAGTCCTGAAGACTAAACCCCTATGTCTTTATGCACCTACAACTTTTTAGGTATCTGTAGTTTCATGGAAGTGAGCTTAGTTTGGACCTGCTTCATCACTCAGATCTCTGTGCAAGAGTCAAGGACATAACAGTGTAGAGACCCACCTGCACCCTCAGCACCACTACAGAATTATGTTCAATAAATTATTTCCTAGAAAACTTGTTTAAATGATCGGTCCAGCCAGACCTGATATTTTAGTTTTTGGAAGATGCTAAGGAATTAAATTCTTTAATGGTTTATTATATCTTTTAGGTACCATACTAGTGAGATATCTGCCCTTGAGTTTTTGGGTCTTCACACCTGTAAAAGCCATTTCATGAAGGTCCCACTATCCCTGTTGGATTTTAAATTCCAGATTTTGAATAAAATAGGAAAATTATATATAGAAAAAATACAACTTGAGCAGGAGCAAAGGGGAAGGAAAAACACTTAAAGGATTAGTTCAGCTTTACTATAAAATTGCCTGGGGTGCCTGTAGATAAAACAAACAGTACAGCTTTGACTAAAGTTGGATAATGCCCTTGCTAAGGTGTGCAGTGGGTATAAAAAGTCTACACACCCCTGTTAAAATGTCAGGTTTCTGTGATGTAAAAAAATGAGACAAAGATAAATCATTTCAGAACTTTCTGCACCTTTAATGTAACCTATAAACGGTACAACTCAGTTGAACAACAAACTGAAATCTTTTAGGTGGAGGGAAGGAAAAATAAAAAAACTAGAATATTATGGTTGCATAAGTGTACACACCCTTAAACTAATACTTTGTTGAAGCATCTTTTCATGTTATTACAGCATTCAGTCTTTTTGGGTATAAGCCTATCAGCATGGCACATCTTGACTTGGCAATATTTGCCCACTCTTCCTTGCAAAAACACTCCAAATCTGTCACATTGTGAGGGCATCTCCTGTGCACAGCCCTCTTCAGATCACTCCATAGATTTTCGATCGGATTCAGGTCTGGGCTCTGGCTGGGCCATTCCAAGACTTTAATTTTCTTCTAGTGAGGCCATTCCTTTGTTGATTT